ACTCTCCCAATACAAGACACTGACAGACAAGTGACTATACCCCTGAGGACAAGCAAACCTACAGATACCGTGACACAAGTAGCAGAGACTCCTTAGTGAGGAACTGGCACAACTTCTGCAGTGCCTGGGGGTTGGGCCAGCAGGCTAACAGTCATCTCTGCGGGTGAGGTGGTGAGAGGACAAGGCCAGACAAAAGCCCAGGCCTCCACAAAGGCAGGCAGGCTTTGGTCTCCCTGGGCAAATGTTCAAAGAGCTGGAGTCAGAGAATAGAAAGGGAAGAACGTGCTCAGCATTTCTCAAACCAAAAGAATGGAAAAACAACTTCAAGTCTTGAGCTGGAATACTGAAAGATGCTTTGGCAAAATTTTGAATGATCTAGGAGGCATCAAAAGAAGATGGAAGGAATACAGAGAGTCACTGTGCAAAAAAGAATTTACACGGAAATACTTTAAGAAGTAGCATATAATCAAGAGCTGATGGTAATTAGAGAAGTTTAGGCTGCACTGGAAAGCACTGAAAAAAAAAATAAGGCCCCAGCAGTCAATGGGGTACCAGTTGACAGGTTTCAGCTTACAGATACTTTTAACCAGTCTGAGCCAGAAAATTTGGAAGGCTGCTTCCTGATCATCTGACTGGGACACATCCATATTTGTTCCCATTCCCAAGAAGGGTGATTCAATAAAATGTGGAAATTACCAAATGATGTCATTAATACTGCATGCAAGCATGACACTGCTGAAAATCAACCAAAGTCAAAACAGTACAGAGAACTTACAGAAGGTTTAGAAGAGGCCGTAGCACCAGGGATTTTGTTGCTAATGTCAGTTGGACTTTAGAATGTTGCTGAAAATTATCCAAAAACATCTGGAGCAGCACATCAGCAGAAAACTGCCACATGTACAGGCTGGATTTAGAAGAGGCTGTGACACTAGGGATATTATAGCTAATGTTAGATGGATCTTGGCTGAAAGCAGAGAGTACTAGAGGAATGTCTATCAGTGTTTCATTGACTATGCAAAGGCTTTTGACTGTGTGGACCACAAAAGCTGTGGCTGACTCTAAGAAGAATAGGAATCTCAGAACATTTGCTTGTGCTTATGTGAAATCTATACTTGGACCAGAAGGCGGTCATCAGAACAGAGCAAGGAAACACTGGAAACTCAGGAAGGGTGTACAGCAGGGATGTGTCCTATCTCCATACCTTTTCAATCTGTATGCTGATTAGATCATCCAGGAGACTGGGCTCTATGGTGAGGAGTGTGGCATCAGGATTGGAGGAAGATTCATCAACAACCTGCATATGCAAATGATACAATCCTGATTGCTGAAACTGAGGAAGATCTAAAGCGCTTGCGGCAGAAGATCAAGGAGCAGAAGATCAAGGACTGCAGCTTTCAATATGGATTGAAGCTCAACCTCAAGAAAGCAAAGATTCTCACCACTGGGTCAATTGGCAGCATCATGATAGATGGTGAAGAGATTGAAATTGTTGACAGCTTTAGTTTGCTTGGCTCCACAATCAATGCTTTGGTACCAGCAGTCAGGAAATTAAAAGACTAATTGCATGAGGAAAGTCTGCTGTCAGGGACCGCTTCAGAGTACTGAAGAGCAATAACATCAGTCTGGAGACTAAAGTGCACCTGATTCAAGCCATGGTCTTTTCAATCACTCGCTATGCATCTGAAGAAGACGACCCTCAATGAGATGGATTGACACAGTGACTGCAGCAGTGGGCACAAGTATGTTGGAGATGATGAGGATGGTGGGACAGGGCAGGGTTGAGATCTGTTCATAGGGCCTCTGTGAGCTGTACTCACCTCAGTGTTCCATAACATAGTGCAGCGTAGTGTAATGTAACATCACATGACAGTACTGTCTGTGCCCCCTCTGTGTGTCCAGACACCTGTTTCAGTCACCAGTCTTTTCATTCTAGAAGCTTGCTCGTGGGGTGAACTTGGATGCACTATTTCCCCTCTCTCTCAGTGACTGGCTTTATAGGTGGGAACAGCGGGTGAGTGAATGCTTAGATTCATGTGTAGGTATGTGGTATACTGACAGGAATGTTTCCATTACACCAGAGCCTGATTCAATGTTGAAAAGTGAAGATGAGACCAATTGATCAATGATCACTTTAAGACAAAAATGAGAAGGCAAGGGGGCAAGGAAACCCAAGTCGTTTATGTCAGCATAGAACCCTGCAGTGGGTTCCTGAGGCTGTAAGGTGCATGGAAGGAGAGGGCCTAGTTTTCTCCCCTGGTGGATTTGAACTCTCGGAGAGCTGTGCCTCCATGTTAGCAATACAACCCCATACAGACTGTGCCACAGAGTTCCATGCAAGGAAATGAGACTAATGGAAATGCACAACAGACAGAAATGAGAGGAAAGTTCACATGAGAAGTATGTAACCCGCCTATGTAGATATTGTGGATTAAGAACCTAAACTTCTGTGTAAACCTTCACTGAAAATGTAGTAAAATATTATTTTTAAAAAAAGTGGTTGGGGTGGGGGGGACTGTATAACAATGAAAGAACTTTTTTCCAAAGAAAAAAGCCAACTGGGGGGTGGGGGGCAGGGAGGAAAATGTTTAACAATGAATGAATGGAAATCCAAGTTCTTTGTAAACTTACAGTAAAATCTCAATTTTAAAAAAGGAAAAAAAAAACCCACCAAAAACTGTTAAAAATGAACCCCAAGCAAACTGTGTAGTATATTAAGTGTGGAAATGCTAACTAAAAAAAAAAAAATCCCCAGTTCACAGCCTCCGGTCACTCCCCAGCAGGAAGATGAGCCAATGTCCTCCCGTTAAGAACCCGTGGAGTCATCACCGTTAACTGATGCGACAGCAGGGACGAGTTTGGTTTAGTTTTGTATTTTAAGCCAATCGCTGTGTGTATTATCTCTTCCAGCAACAGCTAAACATTTCATGTTTAAACATTTTTAATATAAATATTGCCACAGAATCTTCTCCCTCCATTCTCCAGTTTCCCAGTATTTTTTTATAAAGGTATCTTTCAAGGGCTGCATGAGGCTATCTGGACTATTTACAGCACGATAACCCTGTCTGCTATTGTGTTGCCTGGGCCAAAATCCAAAGGAAGTTGATGTTTGCAGATTCTAACTTGATCCGGACTGTCACCAGCTCCGTGTAACAGAACGCTTCCTTTCTTCTCTAGAAAATACTTTTACTGAATGATCATCTTTTTTTCCTATCAAAAATAAAAAAAGGATTGTGAATAACATCAAGTTCTCACAGTTTTAAATTTCTTCCGTAGGCTCTAGAAATAGACACAGTTCAGAAGTGTGGAAAGGGTGAGGATGCGTTTGGGAAGTGTGGAAGCCTGCGCGTGCAGGGGGGTGGGTCCTGGGGGGATGGGGGGCTAGCTCTGCTGCTGTCTTCTTGCTGGGATTTCATCTGGCCACAGGATGCGCTCCCCTCTCCATTCTTCTCCCTTGCCTCACTTGGTGCAGAGTGGAGTGGCAGCTGCTGCCTCTTCTGTTTAGATCTCAGTTTAGAGGACCTCTCCTCTGGACCTTCTTCAGCTCGGTAAAGAGTAGACATCCTGTCCCCTCCCGGTCTGTTTCTTCATAGCTCTGATGCCCCAGAGGGTCTGCATCTCCCATGAGACTGAGTGCCCTGGAGAGCTCTGGACAGTTGTACTCACTACACCCAGGACAGAGCACAGAAAAGGCACTGAATTATCGGGGAAGAAAGGAACTCTAGATTGTTGTTGTTAAGTGCCGTCAAGTCGTAGGCGACTCATAGCGACCCTATGAACGAAAGACCTGGACACTTGTATAATTTTCATCCTCTCTCCAGGTTCATAGGGTTTCTGGAGGAAAGCTATTTCGCAAGTGGATGCCACTCCTGCTTCCAAGCTTGTTTTCACTGGGGAGCTCCACCAAACACTGTCCACCATGGGTAACCATTCTCACATTTGACACATCAGTGTCACTGTGTTCAGCTTTACATCAACCTCGCGTTTCCTCTCTGTACAGCAAGTGGGCAGGCCGGGGCTATACAATCTAGAGGAATGTTCACCGAAAACAATTAAAGACAGCCCTGGGGGCTGCAGATCAGAATCACCCACCTTTGTCTCGGTAGTATCACTTTCTGCCCTCTAGGCCACTAGAAAATCAGCCGTTGAAGCTCTGCGTTCCACAGATTTACTGACACTCATGGGTTCACCCTGAGTCTGAAGCAGCTGGTTCTGTACATGCTGTTGTCAGTCCCTGTCAAGTTGATTCTGACTAATAGTGACGTCATGTGTGCAGCGTAAAATGAACAGCTCCACAGTTCTTAAGGCTTTCAGACTCAGTCGCCAGGCTTGTCTCCTGAGGCATCTCTTGAAAGATTCAAATCACCAGCATTTCAGCACCTAGTTGAGTGTGTAACCATCTAAGAGCTTTCCACATTCACGTATCAGATATAAGCTGCTTTTTAAAGATCCCAGGGACTGCCGGAAGAAGGAACAAGTCTGTTTTAGAGGAAATGAAACAAGGATGCTCCTCAGAAGAAAGGATGGTGCGATTTCATCTCATACTTGGGGCATCTTCTCAGGAGGAGCGAGCTAGTCCTTGGAAAAAAATATACTGCTGGGAAAGGCAGAGGATGAGAGAAAGATGCGTTGGCACAGTGACGGTAACCATGGGCGCGCCAGAGGTGGTGGGGCCGGCGCAAGGCTCAGATCTTTTCCTCAGAGGTCTCTGTGACTCCACATTGACTCCACGGCACCTCGTAGCACTATCCGCGTGGTCAGGAGCTCTGAGTATAGCACAGCTACGCCAAACGTGGGCTCTCTCTGGCAGTTCAAATCCACCAGCCACTCCTCAGAAGAAAAGTCTCCTCCTGTGCAATTACAGCCCCAAAAAATCTGCTAGAGGGTCAGCTGTGAGAGCTTCCAACTCCAGAGCAGTGAGTTGGATTGAGTTGATTTGGCCTGATTCTTTGATATGATGATGAAAGAGATTCTCTTATACTAAGATTCAACTTCTATTTCAGATTAATCAGAAAAAGGGATGCAAAGTTGACCTGGCATTTACCACAGAGCAGTATAACCCAGAGGTAAGTCACTATAATTGGAGAAATACCCTCACACCATACGTTTGTTGTTGTTTCTAAGTTGTAGAAGCTTTTTTTACTAAGCTGAGTTGTTTTTCTGGTTAATTTTCAAGAACTGAAAACTGAGCTGGACAAGAACTCGAGGTGTTACTGCTCTAAGTTCAGTGCTGTATGGGGCTGCATGTAAGACTGTGCATTGGCATTATCTAGGCTTCCTCAGACCCCTGGGAAGCAATTTCACAGCTCCCTTTACAGCCCTCCCCAGCACGTCAGCGCCCTCAGAGTGACTCACTCTCAAATGCCAACCTGTCCCCCTTCCTGTCTGTTGGTGACATTTCAGATTAGTCGTTGGCCTAGCAGGCAGTGGGGGCCTTCTGTGGGAAACACAGTACAGCCTGAACTGATGGTGCCATTACAGACCTCACTACGATCCTGCCCAAGAAGAGGCCACATTTTGCCAGGCTTCCTTTTCCTTGCTATCAAGAAAAGAATAAACAGCAAACTACATTCCTGTGTCACTTAGCATCTGCGATACATTCTGCAAAACAGGGCGTTGTCCAGATGCTCTGCTGGAGAAGGAGGGACAATCTCCTCCTGTACCAGTCAGATCTGATTTGACGGTACACTCACACAAAATAAAAATAAAATAAAATTAAAAAACAAACAGGGAGTTGTGTGGTTTGGGGTTGTGTGAGCGCCACGTGGTAGAACAAGCTTCAGAGAGTGACACTCATCGCGCTGTGAGGAGTTGGTTTCTGTGCTTGGGGCTCCCATACCTGATGGAACTTAGACTGTGGCTTTCGGTGGGGACGTTTTTCTTTGTTCTTGTGGATTGTGGAAGGGACATTCACTGAGTTTTGCACCTTTGTATCGTTTAATGGTCTTGTTCACTATGCCTCTCCCTACTGCTATTGCTAGCATTGGTTTTGCTGTGTTTGGGAGCAGCGATACACTTTACAGTAATATTTTCACAAGAAAATTCAAGAATGCTCCAACACCCAAGAGACACATGTTCAATGGGACTGGATGTTGCTGCCTACAAGCTGAAACACCCAGTATTATACAGTAAACAGTTTAGATAGGAAATACAGTACAGTACATATAGAAACCAGTCACATAGACATTTAGTATGACTCTCAAGCTATATGTTATATATGCGCTGTGCTCTCATACTCCTGACAGCTCAATCATTTTGTGTACAAGGAGCATGAGACACTGGTATGCAGGAAGCTGGTACACTCACTGAGCCCGTTCCTCTGATTGGGATTTCTGTTATAACCTCAGGGGACCACAGACATGGAAGTGCCTGGATGTCACTGGGATGCACGTTAGCAGCGCATGACTAAATAGACATTAGAGCCAGATGAACTTCCATGCACCGGGCCAGGCGGGAAGGCTGAAGCAGGAATACTGGTGGGGAAGAGACACAACCAAATCCTTTTCTTGTCGATGAGTCAAAGCTGCCAGCATGAGTACCAGCATCCGGCAATAAAGTGGCCCATGGTGACAAGTTTCAGTGGTGAATCATGGCAGACCAACGTGATTGTTCCAAAAGAATGCTTGCTTGCCAGAAACAGGTTCTGACAGAAACAGCACGCTTGAACTTTGCTTGTTACCATAAAAATGAAACACTAATTTCTTAAAGAGGAAAGAAGATGTCTTGATTTGTGTTATTGCAAACTGGAAGATTAAGATTAAAGCTAACAAAAATGAATTATTAGATTACTTTGACCAACACTTTTTTCTCTCTCGATTTGATCCTGTCAATGTATTCTAAGCACAACCACCTCATTGCAGTGCTCCATTTCAGGGAGTGAATATGAGTTCTTTTATCCTCAGGCAACTGCTTTGATTCTGTGGAGCTGTTTGGGGGAAAAACAAAAGGGCATAATATCTGATTCCCTTTTCTCCTTACCGGAAATGAATCCAACATCAAAGGAGACTGTGAAAATGGCTTCAACATCAAAGAGACTACATCCCAGTCCTGCCTGCTGTCTGTTGATGTGCCCCTCCCAGAGTATGGGCACCGTTTGTTTTCTTCCTTCCTCCCACTAATTGCGTGGATATTTACCATCTTAATGCATGATTGCAGTTTCCTCTCACTCAAAACCCGGACCCTCATAGGAAATCTTTTTCAGTTTGGGTTTTTTTAATTCTTAAAACAGGCATATTAAGGAGATCAGATTCTGATTACAGTTTGTTTTCTTGTGGGATTTTTCTTTTTAAATCTGTTTTTGGTTCTTCTGTTTTAATGGGACACCACCAATTTTAAACAACTGCAAAAGCTAAAAGAAGATTATTGCCCCACCAACTATACTGTACATCAGGAATTCTTGACCAGGGCTCCCTGCATGCACTTGCGGGGAGAGTTGTGTGTGGACCTCCTCAAATTCCTTCAAGGCCTGATGTTAATGATGTGAGCTTACATGCATTTTCCTGGACAGAAGGTCCTTAGGTTTTGCTGGGTTAGGAATCTTATGAACTGAAAGGAGGGGAAACTGCTGTTACAGGATAGTTGAAGGATCAAGCTATGTAAAAGCTGCTTCATGCACAGATGCCAGGTGCCTCTAGATTAGAAAATAAGCAAAGAAGACCCAATACTACCCACCAAATCTTCATTCAAGTATGTATGCAAGAAAGTAGCCCTCAGTCAATTCAAGTCCTTGAATTAGTCATATTTGGATACTGTGGGTCTCCACTTCCTGGATCAGATCTCTCTGTAGAGAGGGAAGGAGTTAATATGGAACTTGAGCTCTGCAATCCGACAGCCTTGAATTCACATCCTGTCTTAACTACTTCCCAGCTGTGTTGTTGTTATTTTTTTGTTAAATGCCATTGAGTCAAGTCTGACTCCCAGCAGCCCAGTGAACAGTAGCCCTATGAACTCTGTTTTATCCTGCGCCATCCTCATCATCCTCCATACGTTCGAGTCTACTGCAGCAGGCATGGTTCAGTTCATCTCATTGAGGGTCTTCCTCTCCTTTGAAGGCCCTCCACCTTTCCAAGCATAATATCCCTTTCCAGAGTGTAGCCTCTTGGCCTCCAAGGAACTTTCTGACAATACTTTCTCCAAGACATATCTCTTTGTTACTCCACCGTCTTTTCCCACACCACAACTCAAATGCATCAGTTCTCCTATCATCCTTATTCACTGTCCAGCTCTCAGATGCATATCTTAATCCATAAAATGGGAATAAAGGTCTTAAATGATAGTCTACCACTTATCAGTTATTTTGTTTTACTGTGATGATTTGCTTGTTGATGGTGATATAAATATTTTCCAGTATTTGAAGTATTTCAGATACCAATAGGGTAACCAGTCATGGTCAGATTTCAGTGGAGTTTCTAGATTAAGACAGATTAGGGAAATTGATTTGGCAGACCTCTTCTTAAAAAGAAAAATGGCCAGTGAAAACGTAATGAATACTAATAGACCATTTGAAATGGCCAGTGAAAACATAAAACGAATACTGATAGAGCATTATCTCATATGGTGGTAGAAGGTGAATACCTCAGTCTGGAAAGCATTCAGATAACAACTGAGGAACAGCTGCCTCCTCAGAGAGGTGGTTGTTTTATTGTTGTTGGTGGTAAGTGCTGTCAAGTCCAGTAAGACTCATAGGAGCCCTGTGAACAACAGATTGGAACCCTGTCCTATCCCCAGTGCACTTGAACTCACTGTCGCTGTCACTGTATCAGTCCATGCAGTTGAGGGTCTTTGCCTCTTTCATTGATCCTTCACCTTTGCAAGCATGATGTCTCTCTCCAAGGAATAGCTCTCCCCCTCCTAACAACATGCTCAAACTATGTGAGAAGAAGCTGCATCAGCCTTGCCTCCAAGGAGCTCCCTGGCTGCACTTTACCCGAGATGTATCTGTTTATTCTTTTGGCAATCTATGGGATAGTCAGCAGTCTTCTTCTCAAAGTGGAAGCAACCTTAATTACATGGATGGATTAAAGCTTTCGGGAACTTCATTTACTTATGTGGCATGAATTAAAATTAGAAGAAACAGCTGAAACGATCCATTAATAATCAGAACATGGAATGTAGGAAATGTGAATCTGGGAAAACTGGAATTCAAATATGAAATGGAATGCATAAATAGAAATGATTTAAGTGTTAATGAGCAGAAATGGATTGGTATTGACCATTTTTAACCAGACAGTCACGAGGCCTGCTCTGCCAGAAATGTCACTGAAGAGGAATGGTGTCACGTTCATTATCAAGTTCTGTCCTGAAGTACAGTCTGTCAGTGGTCGTATAATCTCTGTATGCCTGTCAGTTAATATAACTAGTATTCAAATTTATGCATCAATCACCTATGCCAAGGATGAAGAAATTGAAGATTTCAGCCAATGTCTGCAGTCTTAAATGGATGTAGTCAAGATGCATTGATAATCTTGGTGGTTGGAATGTGGAAATTGGAAACGAAGAAGGATTAGTAGTTGGGAAATAGGGCCTGCATGGCAGTAATAATGGAGATCGCATAATAGAAATTTACAAGACCAATGACAGATGCCGTTTTTCAACAACCTAAAAGCAAACTATGTATGTGAACCTCAGTGGATAAAATAGACAGAAATCACATCACGTACATCTTGGAAAGAATGACTGAAGCTCCTTTCCAGTGAGGACCAGGCTAGGAGCTGACTGCAGAGCAGGCTGTCGGTTGCTTATATTCACATTAACACTGAAGCTGAAGGAAATTAGAACAAGTCCCTGGGCCTCACAGTAAGACCTTGGGTGTATCCCACCTGAACTTAGAGGCTGTCTCATTTTGAGGCGATGAATGTTGATGACCAGAGACCAGCAGAGTAGTGGGGTGACAGTCAGATGTCATGTGTAAAGAAAGTAAATGGCCAGTAAAGATACAGGGGGAAAGGGAAAGACGAAAATGGGTCTCAGACTTGCTCTTGAACATAAAGTAGCAAAACCAACTGGAAGAAATGTTTACCTAAAGAAAATGAAACTGAAGATTTCAAAGGACAGCTTGGGAAGACATGTTAAGTACTACAATGAAATGTGAAAGACCTGGCACTATTTCTTATAGAAGAACTTGCTTGGCTTTTCTCAAGCTGAAAGAACTAAAGGAAAAAACCCAAATGAGCCTTGAGTTGCAATACTGGAGGATCCTGTGAGCAAAATACTCAGTGGCACAGAAAGCAGATAAAGAAGATGTAAGAATCACGTGGAGTCATTGGGCAAAAAAAAAAAAAAAGAGGACAAACAACAATGAATAAAACAAATACAATTAGATTTTAAAAGTCCTTCCTGACTAAAGGTGGGAAAGTGAGTCACATTTATGGTCCATTTTCTATCTTGATTTTTATCTTCTTCGCCATGGATTCAATTTTCAAAACCCAATCGAGGCCTGACAAATGGAGTAGAACACCAGCAATAGTATTGAAATACAGGAAATTAATGCTATGCAGCCATATTTGACCTGTGAAAATAGCAATATTATATGCATCAACTCAAACTATTATTATCAAAATAAAGTTATCATTGATTGACATCAGAGAAGAGCATTGAAGCATAATAAAAGTAAATCCACCCCTACCCCAAAAGGATTGATTGATGCTGAACCATTTCAGGAAGTAACATGTAGTCAAGAACTGATGATACTGAAGGAAGAAGTCCCAGCTGTATTGCAGGTGAATGCCAGCTGGAACAGTTAAAAAACAGTTGCACTGCATGAAGTACTCACTCATCTAAGCCAACGAATTTGGGTGACAGCTACCTGTGCTACTGACAGGAAAAGACCCTTATTTTTTTTTCTTTATTATTATTTTGTGTGCATGTACCGTCAAATCAGATCTGACTGGTACAGGAGGATATTGCGCCTCCTTCTCCGGCAGAGCATCTGGTGGATTCGAACCGTGTTCCTCTGGGATTGCAGTGCAGCTTCTTGCCACTAGGCCACCAGAGCTCCCCTAAGACCCTTATATTTTATGCACATTCTAGAGAAACTGATCAAACAGGATGTGGGCATAATAAGACACTATCACTAATATCTCATGCAAGTAAAATTTTGCTGAAGATAGTTGAAAAATTTTTGTAGGGAATTTCCAGTGAGGCTCCTGTCTTCCATTTTACTGACTCTCTGTTCCATCTCTTCAGTTCACTTTTTTGTCCTCCCATCGTTGGACAATTCTGTCATTTTGGTCTTAGTACTCTGGATTGTATTTTCATGGTTTTCTGTTATTCCCAGCACTGTGTTGGCTGCACCCTCCCTGTCTTGTGATGATTTTTTAAGTTCGTTCTGTACCTCTTTATCTAGTCTATATCAATTCTATCTTCCATCTTTTGCATTTTACTCTATAGCTGTTTAAATTTCTCCTCGCCGATATATTTCTTCTGGACTGTTGCCTCTGAGGAATTTGTTATCTTACTGACTTCCCTTGTTTCTTCTCACATTTGTATCATTTTCTATACCTGATAAAAGAACTCTACATCACCATATTTCTTCTGGTCTCTCTGACTGGGGTATTCATTGGGTCTGCTTTTTTTTAGGAGAAAGGTTATTTTGTTTGTTCATGATAGCTGAGGTTGTTGCCTGTTCCCTTCTAGAAGTATCTTCCTGCCTGTCTCAAAGTGTCCTGGGCCTCTCTGCTGCTTGCGCTGAAAGGATCCTTTGTGGTTAAGCCAGACAGTAGTTTTTTCTCCAGACTTTAATCACCAAGCAGGAAGCTTGTTGTTCTCTTCGGAAGTCCTTCCTGCCTTCCTTGAGGTATCCTAGTCCTCCCTGCTGCTTGAGCTTATGGAGTCCCGCGTGATCAAGCTAATTAATTGGACAACAGGGAATTTCTTAAAATCCAAACCTGATAATGGAAGCATGAAATCAGAGATATTACCTCTAATGTCAGATGAATCCTGGCTGAATGGAAGAAATACCAGGAAGATATTTAATCTGTGTTTTGTTGAAAATGCAAAATTACAGGGGGAGGGATTGTAAAACAATGAAAGAATTTTTCTTTTACCTTTCCAAGAGGGTAGTGTACTAGGGAGTAGGGTTGGGAGGGGAGAAAAGTCTCTAAATTTTCATTGAAATTAATAATAAATTTTTTAAAAAAGAAAAGTATTTACAAAATGCAGAATTACCCAGCTGTGCATCGTAACAAATTATGGGCAACATTCCAAATAACTGGAATCTCAGAACCCAGCATTGTGCTCACATGGAACCTGTACATTAACCAAGTACAGTTGTTTGAAAAATACAAGAGGGTGCTGCATGATTCAAAGCCAGGCATGATAGGTCTGTATCCTATCACCAAACTCATTCAATCTGTATGATGAGCAAACCATTTAAGAAGCTGGACTATATTAAGAAGAATGGCTTCAAAATTAGGGAAGACTCATTAATAAACTGACAGGCAAGTGACACAAGCTTGCTTGCTAACAACGAAGAAAGAGGTCTCCAAACACTTACTGAAGAAGATCAAAGTCTACTGTATGGATCACACAGCGACAGAAATGAAACAAAAATCTCCATGACTGGATGAATAAACTGCATCTTAATAAATAGAGACAACAGTGAAGTTTTCAAGTATTCAGTTTCACCTAGGTTCACAGTAAATGCCCATGGAAGCAGCCGTGAAGAAATAAAAGCATGTATTACGCTGGGAAGATCTGCTGCAGAGACTTCTTTAAAGTGTTAGAAGGCAAAGCCGGCCCTTCATATGCGTGCAAAGGCTGTTCAGTGACTAAGGAAGACTGAAGAAGAATTGATGCATTATAGTCATTTGTAATGAATACCTAACATGCCCTGGATTATCAGAAGAACAAACTATGTTGGAATAGTGTTCCTTAGAAAAGAAGGTGGTGAAAATTAGTCTTATATCCTCTGAGGATATTCTAAGAAGGGGCCAGCAGGAGGACCCTCAGTGAAACAGGTGGCACAGTGGCTGAAACAATGGGCTCAAACAGCAGTGGTTCTAAGACTGACCTAGAAAATGACATGGAATGGGGAATTGTCTGTCTGTTGTTCACAGAGTCTGTGTGAGTCAGAATTGACCCAGTGACTCCTAAAAGCCACAACTCCTAAGTGGTATGAAGATGTTTTTGTTCATGGGATCCTTCTCGTCTCTTACTGGTTCAAGTTAGCAAACTTGAGAAGACCACCAAGTGGCATTTCATCGGTACACAGTGACATAGTATCTACTGGCCCAGAGTTTGGGCAAGCATTGATCAACGGACATCAGTCAGCTTTCTTTAGAAAAGGCCTGGTCCTATTAAGGTACCATCATTAGGCAGGAATTCAAATGATAGAGTGAAGGGCTATTTTATATTCAGCTGTGAGCACAAAATTCCTTTCTCCCATGTAAAGGCCACTACATCTGTAGATGAACAATCGTGTGATGCACAATGAACTCTTCCCAATCCTGTGTGTTAGAGGCAGGCGGGCAGTGATGGGTACTGACCTTGTTCATTCCGTGCTCTTTATTTCAGGAAGGTGAGGAGCGTTTGGGAAAATGTTCTGCACAAGTGTTTTTCAGAAACCAGAAACCCAGACCAGCCATTAATATAACTTGCACACGGCTCGTTGAGAAGAAGAAAAGACAGGAAGATGATTACCTGCTATACAAGCAAATGAAGCAACTTCAGACTCCCTTGAATACCATCAGCATACCTGGTATGAACCAGTATCTGAAATGTCCATATTCAGGAATTTTTGTAATTTCTAATTACATTCATAAGAATGAACATTTAAATTCACACTCCCCACAGTGGCATTCAGATTCAGCTGTTGAATGTGGCAGGTTTTTTTACTTCCTTTTCATTATTTAACGATACTAGAAACTAACGTTTTCCGCCCCTTCACCTCCAGTACAATCTAGCACCCAACAGAAGCTCCTTCTTCAGTCTCTCCACTTCTCGACTCAGACAGAGGGGGTTGACAGAGCCAAGCCTCCAAGTGAGAATTTGCAATAAGACCTGCTCTGAGGGGTAAAGGTTCTGAGTGGAGTCTGGAATCTGAGGTAGAAGTTCTAGAGGCCTTGGGTGGTCACTCTGGAGACTCGGGCACCATGGCAGCCTCCAGAGCCTCCTCTGCCCCAGTGTAGCATCACAGGCTCAGTGAGGCCCCCGTCCTGGGATGCCACAGTGCAGTAGTGCCACCTTATTGTAGCTCAGTCACTAATGGGCCACCGTGGGCTCCCTTCTCAGGAATGAGCTGGTCCTCTGAAGTGACTCAGCTGAAGCGAAGCAGAGCTCATTTGCCCTGGCACCCACAGAGTGTGTGGGCAGCGCTGAGTCTCAGCACTTACTGGCAAAACCAATTTCCCAAACCACAAAAATCATCACTGGACTTGCACTTGGGTATTCATCTAGGCATCTGACCTCCTCAGCACTCATTGGTCTCCGTCCACTCCCAGCACACCCATTTGTTCAGATGCTGGGACAGTTCCCTGTCAGTCAGGGGGGACATGCAGTCTCCATTCCTGAACTTCCCCACTCCCCATCTGTTTGCTGGGACGGTTACCAGTGTCTTTAAAAGGCTGTAGGTGGAATGCTGCTGCTTATAGATCTACATGTAAAAGCTTTGGACAATTCAGATCAAATCTTCTAAAGATTTAGGGAAGTAATGAAAAACCTTAGTTAGTTGTAGAATTTGCTAATAGAAGTAAACTCACACACACACATACACACACACACACATACACACACACACACACAGAGTATTTCTTGAAATAAACAACTAATGACTAATGGGTAAAAAATCGTTAATAGTCTGAAGAACTAGCTGTCAGGTCTGTTCCAGTGGTGAGTTTGAACTTCCGGAGCCATGCTGCATTTGGATTAAGAGGCCAGTTTTCTGTGGGCTACACCAATAATCAGTTACATACCCCCCCATCTTAGCATTAATTAGGGAAATATGGTGGTTTATTCTCCCTAAACATACAATTTAGAAATTGTTGAGGATCTGAGGTAGTCAGATCTGCTTCTGCAGCAGAGACACCACAGACTTTAACAAAAATAAACTTACTCTCTTACAAAATGCCTACATTTACTAGGGAGTTCACCACTGCCTATTTGCAGTTGACCTAAAATGGGACGAGCACTGCTCCAGTGTGCTGTCCCAGGAAGCCAGTCCGCCCAGCCTGCGATGGTCCGCGAGGAAGTCCTGGAGGCCTGTCACCTGAAGTTTCTCTTACACTTTGTTGTTGTTGTCAGGTGCCGTCAGCCCATCTTGACCCTGTGGACAGCAGATCGGAAACGTGTCCTAACCCATCACCCTCGCACTTGCTGACTTCCTCGGCAGTTTAGGGACTAGAAGCTCATGCTCAGGGTGCCGGCTCTCGGGGAACCTCCTGTCTGTGTCAGTACTGGGGAGAGTCCTTATTTCCTAACGCATGGAAGAGTTGGTACTCCCTGGATCACCTGGCACCCTGCCTGTGCCCCGCGTCAAGGAGTTTCCTTGAGGAGAAACTGGGGTCCCCCAGGACACACTCCACTCCTAGCAGTTCTCAGTGGTACTGAAGTCCCCCTCTGTCTCTTTCCCTTTTGTCTCTGGTGCAATAAATTATTACATGGCACACCCCAGACACTCCCTTTACCCTAGACTAGGCCTCTGGTGGACCTGAGGGCATGACAGTCCACCTTTGAGACTCCTACAGCTGTATTAGATCATGGGTGATCATTTTGTGGCTTCCACATGTATTTTGAGGATATCTTTAACAGGAACACTAGATTTGGGGCCTTTTTAAAAATTGTACAGATACAGGCTATGGCCTTTGCAATCACTTGTTATGCATCAGAGAGTTGGACAATGACCAGGGAGGATAGAAGGAGAATTGATACCTTTAAGCTGTGGTGCTGGAGAAGAGTATTGAGAATACCATGGACTGCTAGGAAAACAAACAGATTTGTCCTGGAAAGGGTTAAACCGGGTGGCTCCTTGGAGGCAAGGATTCTGAGGCTCCGTCTAACACACTTTGGACATGTTGTAAGGAGAGACAGGTCCTTGGAGAGGGACATCATGCTGGGCAGACTGGAGGGACAGCGCAGGAAGGGAAGACCCTCTATGAGATGGATTGATTCAGTGACTGGGGTAATCGGGATGGGTGTGTCAGAGGCAGTGCGATTGGCACAGGATAGAGCAGGGTTTAGGGCTGTTGTACATAGGGTCACTATGAGTCGCAAACGACTCGACGGCACATAACAACAACAACACAGATTTACTGTATCATTTAAAGTTCTGAATGCACACAAAGCTTATTTTGGAACAATGTAAATTATGTGTACTTTGTCTGTGTATATGAAATATCTTCCCTTACTTAAAACCAAACTCTTTATAGATAAAGTGATACAAAACAATGGTGATACCCCTGAGCAGCAGATACTATATAGTGTTTCATCAGCCCCCAAGAAAGTGGACTACTCAAATGAGAAGATCTAGGTCATTTCCTAGTACCGTCATTTCACACTGGTTTTGCCCTTAAAAAAGCAGAATCACAGGGAGCTCCAGTGGCCTAGTGGCAAGAAGCTGCACTGCAATCCCAGAGGTATGTGGTTTGAATCCACCAGTTGCTCTGCTGGTGAAGGAGTGGTAATCTCCTCCTGTACCAGTCAGATCTGATTTGACGGTACACACACACAATAATAAAAATTAAACCAAAGAAACAAAGAGAGAGAGAAAGAGAAGCAGAGTCACCTGGCCTTTCTTATGTGTAGGATGTTCAGTTTTTGGGATGAAATGGTGGCTTCCTCTAGATGGACCTGGGTGCACACAAGAAGAGTCAGAGCCATGGTCAGCTGACATCTGCTTCTCCTCGTTCTTCTGTGGTAGTGCTGTGTTTCATTCTGTATCAAGTGTCATGCTGCCAATCTTTAGTAGAATTGGCATCTCTCATGGCAGAGGGCTTTAATCAGAGATGAAGTCCGGGCACCACTGTAACGTGAAACGTGAAGACCAGCCAGAGGAAGGAAGCTGTTTAATCAATGAACTTAGAAGTGATGGGGAAAATCTCTTAGCAGTCAGTCAAGGAGAAAACATGGTTCATGTCAAAATGCTGAATTCATAGTTCAAGATTACATGTTGTTCTGAAACCTACATGGTTCAGTTCCTTATACCCGGGAGAAATGACAAATTTATTCATAAAATGCTAATTTGTCAGAAAGTAGAATTCAAACACATGCATGCCATACTTTCTACGATAGCATGTATAAAAATGATTTCAGCTCCTTGTTGATTGTTTAGCAGTGTTGGGAGTGGGGAGCTTACTAAATTAAAGAAAATTACATAGAAAAAATAATAATGAAAGGGCTCAAGAACAAGTTTGAAGACATGTTGTTGTTGTTGTTGCTATGTGCCATCGAGT